CTTCTTTCTACTCATCTATTTGACTGTTACCTTCCTTTCTTCCATCCACCCACCCACTGGTCCTGCCATCAACCTGGTGGTGAACTGCCTTTTGCATGGGTTCCAGACACAAAGGGCTCTGGGTTCATCTGATTCTGGTTCCCACACCCATCCCATAGCTTTTCTCTGGCTTTATGTGTTGTCTGTCAACATGTGGTGGCTCCCTCTCTGGAGAATGCTCTGGCTTGCAGGTCCAGGTGGTGTGTGGCAATCTGAAATTCCAGCCACTGACTGCTCTCTCTCTCTTTCTCTCTCTCTCCCTCTCTCCCATAGCCTGCCAAGCTCGCTGAGGCCTTCAAGTACTTTGTGCAGGGCATGGGATACAGTGAGTATGGCAGTCTGAGCATTGGGCAGGTGTGGGAGTGATGATACCATGGTGAGGGTGGAGGAGAGTTCTGTGACCTTAGTAGGCTTCAGCTCTATTGAACTTTGGGCAGGCCTGAGAAGGTAGTTAAAGTCACTAGTGGCTGCAGGACAAGAGACATTCTGCGGAGTTATCAGTTTGGCTATTGTGCGCTCATCACATAGCATGCTGACACAAACCAGGACTGCACTTGTGTCCCTGAGCAGTGCAGTCTCATGGGACCCCATAGTGTGTTCTGTTAACTGAAATGTCATTATGTGTGCACGGCCAGAAGTTACTTCCTACCCAAGATTTATTTAGCTTTACATGAGTACCAGGAGGACAAGAGACATTCTGAGGAGTTATCAGTTTGGCTATTGTGCGCTCATCACATAGCATGCTGACACAAACCAGGACTGCACTTGTGCCCTGAGCAGTGCAGTCTCATGGGACCCCATGGTGTATTCTGTTAACTGAAATGTCATTATGTGTGCATGGCCAGAAGTTACTTCCTACCCAAGATTTATTTAGCTTTACATGAGTACCATCCCTTTATTATTTTTTAAATTTTTTTATTATTAATTTGGGGGGGGGGGTTGGAGACAGAGTCTCCCTCTGTAGCCCAGGCTTTCTTGGAACTCACAGCGTGGGTCAGGCACTCCTTGAACTCCTGCCTCAGCATCCCAAGTGCTTGGATTATAGGCAAGGGCCACCACACTGGGTAGGACTGTCCCTTTAAACACCAAAAAATGACAAACAGCTGAGCAATGAATGTCCTTTATTCTGACAACATGCTTGCTCAAGAGAAGACCAGCAGTTGTAGCGATGATGGTAAACTGGGTGATGATGGCGGTGGTGGGGAAGATTAGTGAGTCTTTTTTTCTCTTTTAAAACCATCACGATAATCCTACAAGGTATTTTTAACTTCCATTCATCAGTGCTGAGCCTGAGGCTGGAGAGCTTAAGCAAGCTGAGGAGGGGCATTCTCTGGAAGACGGTAGAAGTCAGAGCTCCATGTGAGGGTGGCAGAGGCTGAGGTTGACCACAGAGCATGTTTGCTAAATCATTAAATCATGGCGCAGAAGGACGGAGGGCAGCTGCGCCAGGTCCTTGCTGCGTCCTCCTTCAGGGCTGGAGGGAGTTTGTTGCATTCATGTAGCCTTTTTCAGAAGTGCCGGGCTGTAACTGGGTCACACAGGCTCTGCTGAGCAGCAGCCACGCTTGGCACCAGTTGGCAGGTTAGCTGTGGTTGTAGCCTGATGTGGCCACTCAGCTCCTCCTGCCTACTGCCTGGAATTACAGTCTGTGCATCTTTCTTAATGGGGAATGTCTGTCTAAACCACCCACCTATTTAGAAGTGAATCAGAGTATTTGATGTAGCCAAACAGCCTTCCCATGGACCTCAGCCACTCCAGGTTTCCAGCAAGGCAAAGAGTGAGGTGGCCTGATTCCCATGCCTCAGACAAGGTTCCTGTCCCTAGCTGTCCTCTGCTAGCAGGGCACATTTACCAGTGGACCTTCCCCCCACCTAGCCTGCTTTCCCTGGTTAAAACAGGGGACAACTACTGTCCAGATATGCTTCTCTTGTGGGGCATGGATCACTGCTCATTTGCCTCAGACCTACTATGGGTTGGATTTCTGCTTTGATAGTGTATTCTGGGGAGAAAAGAAGCAAGATCAGCAGGACTCGCAGATTTGGGTGAAGAAATAGAGACTCAGAAAACACGAGCCACAGATGTGCCATGACCCCAATTTTTCCTAAACCCAAAATTGGCTCTTCAGCATGGAGGCAGAGGATCAGGAGTTCAAGATCATCCCAGATACATAGAGAATTTGTGCAAATTGGCTCTTCAGCATGGTGGTGCACACCTGTGATAGTAGCACTTGTGAGGCAGAGGCAGAGGATCAGGAGTTCAAGATCATCCCAGATACATAGAGAATTTGTGACCAGCCTGGTCTACACAGGACCCTTTCTCAATAAACAAAAAAACATGTGCTAGGCATAATGGTGTATGCCTTTTCCATTGAGCAAGGACTAATTCTGTTTGTGAGTGTCTGCCCGAGGATGCTGCTTTGATGGGATGGGACATTAGCCACCCTCACAGGTACCCTGAGAAATTCCCACAAACCAGGGATCTTAAATGTCAGGAATGTCGCCCTCCACAGACTCAGAGGCTACAAGTCTGAGATCAAGGTGTGGGCAGGGCCAGGTTCATTCAGACCTCTGAAAGACCCTTTCTTGCCTCTGCCAGATTCTGTGGCTTACAGCGCCATCACACCTGTCTCCTTGTCTGTCTGTGGACAGCTCTCTCCCCTGTGTCTGTGCCACTGTTCTCTTATTAAGGACACTGGCTGTTGGATTAGGGATCACCATAATCCAGAATGACCTCATTTTATCTGATTATCCCTGCAGAGACCCTGTTTCCAAACAAGGTCATGTTCTGAAGTTCCAGAAAGACATTAATTTGGGGGAGACAACTGCAACCCTGGACAGAGGTTTTGCTGTACCCCATTCTGTTAGCCACCTGCTGTGGCAAGAGCTTGAGAATTAGCAGGCTTTTGGAAGGCAAATACACAGCACCCCTGAAGAAACCTGCGGTGTGGCTCTGGGGTCCCACCTGTGATGTGCAGAGACCAGCCCCACTCTTCGCTAGTGTCTTCTCTGCTCTAGTGCCTGCTCACAGTAGTGCACAGAGGATGCCTAAGCACTGGACCTAAAGGTCCTCATTTTGCAGACAAGGACAGGGAGATACTCCCAGTTAAGCACATGGCAACACTGGAGTTCAGACCTGAATCATGACTCAGGTATCAGACCTGTGATTGTTAGATCTTTTCTGCATCTGGGCCTTGCTGACCCCTTATGAGTAGAGTCAGAGGGTGCATGGCTCCCAGGATAATGACATTAGAAGGGGTGCTCAGCTGGGCTCCTAGGAACACACCATGGCTAACAGGCAGGTGCACTGGTCCTTTACCCATGGAGGTCCCCTCATACCCTAACAGGCTGTTTTCTGTGTTTGCAGTGCCCTCTGCCAGCATGACCCGCCTGATGCGGTCCCGCACAGGCTCTGGCTCCAGCGTCACATCCCTGGAGGGTGCCCGCAGCCGTTCTCACACCAGCGAGGGCCCCCGCAGCCGCTCCCACACGAGCGAGGGCTCCCGTAGCCGCTCCCATACCAGCGAGGATGCCCGCCTCAACATCACCCCTAACTCGGGTGCCACTGGGAACAACACGGGGCCCAAGTCCATGGAGGTGTCCTGCTAGGCATCCTATGCACCCACCATCCTGGACGGATCTGTCTCTCTCAGCCTCCAACCCCTGCCTGCCACCCTGTGCTAACGCGGTATTAATCTAAAGCTGCTTTTGTAAGAGTGAGCTCTGGTGGCGGCAGCCCCGGGTTGTCTAGGGTGCCTCCTGGGACCAGGGTAGGTGGTGATGGACCAAAGGCAAGAAGCAGTCCAGAGTTCTGTTCTGCTAACATGGCCTGGTGGCCCCCTCTTTCCTTCCACCCTCTGACACCAACCTGCCAAAACCAAGAAGCTCATAGCTGTAAACACTGCCCGGCTCTAAGCCTAGGCTGATCCAGCATCCTGGTTCATAGGCATTTTGCCATCTCTCCTACTTCCTGTTTCCTCTTTACTTCCTGTTTCCTCCCCACTAAAGACATTCCTGGAAATAAATCTGTTTTTGATTTGAAGGGGAGGAGGAGGGAAATTGGTCACCTCTTTTTAAGTACGGAAAACAGGAAGAGGGAAAAAAAGAGGTGGAATCTAGGGCCGGTAGAGATCAGTGGAAAAACAAGGCCACACAGTTCACATGAAGGAATCTATTTTAAAGCTGATGCATAAACATCTGGGTGCCAGAGCCCACAGCCTACTTTGTGGCAACCTTTTAACATGCAAGGGAAACTGCTAACAACCTGACTTTACAGAGAAACCTTTTCCAGAAACATTTGGTGTCAGGGTGGTTTAAGGCTCTTGGTCTGCTACCTACCTGCCCCACCTTCTTCCCTGACCCCTTCCCCACCTTCCCTCACCCCTGCCCCATGTTGTGATGAATGAGTGATGCCTTTGTTCGTGGGGAATTCCAGTTTGATTTGTAGTTGCTTTCTTTGCCATTGAGGGGGAGCTCAGAGAGGTGACAAATGTCTTTGTCTGGGATGAGTCTCCAGGCAGGGGAGGGGTGGGGGTAGAGTGGGATTGATAACTAGTGTAGGGGCCAAGTGCTGGAATCTAGTTGGCGTGATTTCAGCGGGTGCCAGCCTGTGTCCCTGGAATCTTGTGTGATTGAGTCAAACCCAGTCTCCCATTATTGACATTGGGGGTTGACTCTAAACCCAATAATTGGATGTCTCTCACCTGGCCCATTACCGGGTCTTCAGAGAGAACTGTATGCTCTTGTAGGGGATGGGCTGAGAGGATTCTGAACTCTATACATTCCATGGGAACTGGCTTCCCTCTCCTGATGCCCCCTCTCCCTGCCCCTCTAACCTCCTTCTGCTGACTGTGGTGGTCGTGCTGGCCCTTCAGAGAGATGCCAGCCTAATGCCTACTCCCTGTACCGATGCCTTGGAGTCTCACTGTGGCTAACCTTGGGCTTTCCCATAGGAAGTATGATCAGAATCATCTGAATACTAGGAGTCAGCCATCAAGGCCTGGCTAGGTCTAGTACCCTGGAGTTGCTAGAGGGAAAGTGCCATGTCTTTAGATGGCTCAAGAAGCAAGGACTCTGTAGCTGCAAATTCCCACAGAGGGCCTTCCCCCTGACCTTGTGTAGAAATATTGGAGATCCAGGCCAGGGTGCCTGAATGCAGACCAGAAACCATTGTATACATCTTTCCAGAGCAGTTTCTTAATGTTTGTATTTATTTCCAAACCAATAAATTTGTAACTTTGCAGTGGCTTGTGTCTTTCTCCTTTACCTAGAAGATTGTGTGTGACAGCTTGGAGCATGAAGGGATGGGCTTCATCCTTGACACCCAGGGCTGCCACTTGCCCCTGGGTGTTGGAATTCTTCACCATAGAGTGGTACTACTGACATGCAGAAATGGAGTTCTCAATCACATAGTAGCTAGACTTCCTGGAAGTCAAATTGAGGAAGAGAAACAGGTGAGAGTAACATTTTTTCTTTCTTTTTTTTTGAGAGAGTCTCCCTATAACCCCAGCTGGCTTGGAAGTCACTATGTAAGTCAGGCTGGTCTTGAACTCACAGAGATTCACCTGCCTCTGTCTCCTGAGTGCTGGGACTATAGGCATGCACCACCACGCCCAACTTGAAAGTAATTTTAATAGTGCATTCATTTTTAGATCACTGTCTCTAAACTGTTATCATTTCTAACCAATGACCAGACATATCCTCATTTTTGTACTAAGCAGTCCAGGGTACCATCAGCCTCCCACACATCAGGCAGCCAGTAACGGTCATCACAATGAGGGAGAGAACATTTTCCAGCCTGAATGCAGGGGAAAACATTGGATTGCCCCTTCACTTTCACTATAGAAGAGGATGAGGAAAGGTGCCTCCTTTTTTCATGGGCTACCTGACCATTCCATTCTTGAACCTGGAATCAGTGATTTTGTGTGTGTTTGTGTACATGTGTGTGCACTTGTGGAAGTCTGAGGCCCACATCAGGTGTCTTCTTTGATTTCTTTACCTTCTGTTGTGAGACAAAAATCTCATTGAATCTGAGACTCAACAGCTCGGCTAGACTAGCTGACCAGTGAACATGTTGCTCCTCCAAGTCCCATAGTGCAGCAAGGAATTGGTCAGTTGTGTGGGCAAATTGATAGTGACATCCTCTCACAGCCAAAGCCACCAGTGTAGGACCCACCGTCACTCATTTCGGCTCTGAGAAGTGATTCCTGCATTGATGGCGCTCCCAGGAGGTAGAAACACTGCAGACACCGTGCATACAGCATCTGTACTGCACGGCCTCTCTCTCTCTCTCTCTCTCTCTCTCTCTCTCTCTCTCTCTCTCTCTATCTCCTCTCTCCCCTCTCTCTCTCCTCTCTCTCCCCTCTCTCTCCTCTCTCCCCTCCAGCTCCTCCCATATCACCCCCTCACTTTTTTTTTGATAACTTCATGTACTCTTTCTTCTTCTTCTTCTTTTAATGGGGCTTTTTGCTACTCTAACATTCCCCCCTCTGAAGAGTATCTTGTAAGAATTATATAAACGCTTCCAAATACTTCCAACATTTTTGACCTTTGGAATGGAGTATGTTGCTAAGAGGCCCAAGTACATTGTGAGTTTTAGCCAAGAAACTGGCTACTTTTCTTTGGGGTCTTTTTACCCTAACTGCCTAACGAATTCACACAAGGATGACAATGTGCTCTCCTAGGAAGACATATATGTACACAGACATGTATAGAAGTTAAAGGACTATCAGACAATGCGTTTCAAAGAATGAGTGTAGTTGTACAGGGTATTGGTAAAAGACTTCCATGCATCCCCAAGCTCAGTCTGGTGCACTGGCACATGTTATGGTGTCTGTTCCATCTCAAAATTCACATGGAAGCTCTCATGCACTGTAGAGCTGTGTGGAACTAAGCTTATAGAAGTACATACATGCAAATTCCTGGTCCAATTGAGTAAGTATCCTGATGCCGTCTCTCTCTGTCTCTCTGTCTCTCTCTCTCTGTCTCTCTCTTCCTCTCTCCTCTCTCCCCTCTCTCCTCTCTCTCCTCTCTCTCCTCTCTCTCCCCTCTCTCTCTCTCTGCTAAGCCATCTCACCAACCCCAAACTACTGATTTCTTACTCTAGGTTCTTCAGTATCAGGCCGGGGCCGAACAGAACAGGAGAGTTTGTTGAACACAGAGGAATGTGTCTTCTAGAATAGCAGTGCTTGAGGGATGTGATGGTTCTTTTTCCTCTGTGTATGTGTGTGTGGTGTGCGTGTGCGTGTCTGTGCACATGTGTATGTGTGCTTGTGGAGGCCAAAGGTTGACACCGGGTGTCTTCCTCCACCTTATTTTTGATACAGGACTCAGGACTTGGCTAGGCTGGATGGTCAGTGAGCCCCAACATTCCTCCTGTTTCCATTCCTCCCCGAGAGAGTAGTTCTCAAAGGTCAGAGAGACCGAACATCTTGCCCAGCTATTTCCAATGGAGTATCAGCTTGTTAAAATTCCCAAGCACTGGGCTAACTCACTCTCACCTCTCAGTGTCTAGATGGCACAGCATCAGTGAGCTCTTAGGACCAAGACTGTGGGCTTGGAAGGTTTTCAATGCTCGCAGGTGCTTTTGCTCCTCCATTAAACAACCTTGCTCAGACTTGAGAGGGAGGGTAGCTTTGATGTGGTTTTGAGCCTGTCTCTGGCAAGCTGACATTTTCTCAGTCTTATCAAGTGAGTCTATTTCTAGCAGTCTTTCTCCCTATTAGTGAAATGGCTGAAGAAATCCACATTTTCCATGTTGTAGAAAAGTGAGAGTAATGAAGCGTGGAGTGGAGCACATGCGCCATGCTGTGCAGAACACACCAAGCAGTAACTGGGCTGTGCCAGCTTGCCCAAAGCCATGTCTGCTCAGGCCTACATTTAGAAAGAGGCCACATTCTGCTAGAATATGGATTTCTAAATACACAGGAAATCTTGAACTAATTTTGTCAGTGGGCATGACAGAATAGTATCACTAAGGTTTAGATAGATGGTAGATAGATAACAGATGATAGACAAATAGATAAGTAGTTGATGAAAGATGACAGATGACGATATAGTTAAATGATAGATGATAGATAGATGTACTTTATTTTTTTAAGACAGTCCCACTCTGTTACCCAGGCTGACCTCAAAACTCTGATCTCCAAAACATTCCAGGCTGTTGCCATTGCTCTTGGTTACCCTCCACAACTTGACAGTGAGACCCTATTACTGAAGACCACACATAGCTGAATCAGAGAACATAGAGAAGTCAAGTGGGAGAAATCATCTGGCAGCTTCCAGAGTGCTGGAAGGTGCTGTGTACACTATGAGAGGAGACCAGTATCATCAGTCTAACCCAGCTGTGAACCCTGAGAGCTACAATAACTACTGGCCTGGCAAAATATGCCCACTAATGCAATAGTGGCACAAATGTTTTGGGAGTAACCAGCCGCTCTGATTGAATTTAAGGCCTGTTTAATGCAATAGAACCCATACCTTGGAATGTATAATTGGCCCTGTTATCAGGGTCAAGAATGTGTGCATAGATGGGTCACAGGCCTTAAGGGAGAATCTGCTACTAATATCATACTAAGTGAACATAATATTAAAGTGACTCCTAAAGACTGTCCGCTATACCTATAGATTAGTGCATCTGTCAACCCTCATCAGAGAAGCTGTTTCTTATAATAGGAGGCAGCTAACACAGAGACCCACAACAGTCAATGTATAGAGAAAAAGAGACACAAAGTGCTCAGCTCTAAATGAGACATCTGTATTATACCCCTCCTCCCAAGGCTCCAGGAACTTCTTAGAAGAGGATGGAAAGATTGTAATAGCCAGAGGTAGTGGAAGGCAATGCAGAAACAGTGTTTTCCAGACAGCAGGGCAGTTGTATATATGAGCTTACAGCAGTTGTGACAGCATGAACAAGTCCTGCTGAAGCTCAAACCAGACAAAATCCCATTATGGAGTGGGGAGGTGGGCAGGAACTCCCACCTCTAAATGAGGAGCTATCGGTACTTGAGAGCTTCTAGGGGAGAAAAGTCAGTTTTTATCTATTTTGAATTTTGTGTGGTGTATGTGTGTGTGTGTGTGTGTATGTTTTGCCTGTGTATATGTAAGTGCACCATGTGATCTATTTTGAATTTTGTGTGGTGTATGTGTGTGTGTGTGTGTATGTTTTGCCTGTGTATATGTAAGTGCACCATGTGGGACCGTCAGTCTTGATAGCAAGCACCTTTATCCACTAAGCCATCATGCTGGCCCTGACACAGGCCTTTTGGTGGGGCCAATGAAAGTCTCTAGCCCCTAGAGTTGGTTTTATTTAAGGGTGTGACCCCTGGTAGGTCAACCACAGTCAGGGCAGGTTCCATACCTAAGATATTTGCACAACACAGATTGGACTCTCTGGGGCTGGGCGAGGGAGGATGAACATGAATTTGGGTGGGTAGGGAGGTGGGGTGAATCTGGGAGGAATTGGGGGAGGAGGGCTATGATCAAAATACACTGTATGAAGTTTTCAAAGAATTAACGAAAGTATATTTTTTAAACTTCTGGATCCGTGCAATTTTCGTGTCTTACCTCTCTAAGTGTCTAGGATCATAGGATCAGCACTACACTAGCATCCACTATATATGTTTTTTATAATAAAAGGTTCTAACATTTCCTCCAAGTTCCATTTTCCCATAACTTCATCCAGCATGTGAATTTCCCCCAAGGTCCACCCATTCCCCTTACCCTGAGGCGCCCACAGGAGTCTATGCTCCAACTTTGAATTTTTAAAATTAATTTTATATTTTGATTAGTTTGCAAAGTAGTGGGTTTCCTTGTGGCCTTTTCTTACATGCTTAGTTTGCTTGGCCCTCCCCACTCTCCCCTCCTCCCTGTCCCTGCCCCATTCCACTTGTCCCCTCCCCAGCGGCATCCTCCCCTCCCTGTCCCTGCCCCTTTCCACTTGTCCCCTCCCCACCAACATTCTGTCCTTCCATTTTTATGTCACGTGTGTTTATTACCCTTCCCAATCTTCTCCCTTAAAGCCTCTTTCTCCTCTTGTGGCCTTCTTTCTGGTTTCCTGGCCTTACTCCCAGACAAATATACATAAGTTAAAAATTAGAAGTTATGCCAGGAGCGGTGGCGCACGCTTTAACTCCAGCACTTGGAGGAAGAGGCAGATGGAACTCTGTGAGATTGAAGCCAGACTGCTCTATATGGCAACTTCCACACCAACTGGGGCTACAGTGAGATCCTGTCTCAAAAGGCAGGTGGCTCTCTGTGAGATCAAGGCTACCCTGGTTCACATTGTGACTTCCAGGTCAGCTGTGACTACAGAGATCCTGTTGAAAAACAACCTGTCTCTCCCTCCCTAGCACCAGTATTACAAGAACCTGTCACCATGATCAGATACATTTTAAAACGTGGGTTATAGGGGATGGAACTTAGGCCCTCATGTTTTCAAGGCAAGCACCTTAGTGATTGGGCTACCACCCAGCTCTCTATTTTAAAATTTTGTATTCAAGGCACACGCTACAGAAAGGAAAGTGCTGTCATTTCATACATTTCCAAGTTGAGGAGACTGAGGTGTGGAGGAACTAAGTGAGACGTTCCAGCTAATTGTGCAGTCTATGAAGACCCAGTTGAGCCCTGGTGGCAGGACTTTTTCCATGACACCCTGCAGCTTGCTTTACCCTTCTCTGTGCTCCCCTTGGTGTGGAAGGACATAGGTAATGGATACTCTGTCCAGCCACCCAGTGCCTGAGCCCGTGATACAAGCCAGGAACTGTTCTATGTAGTCACAGCACTGACCTCAAGGCACCTACCATCTACTTAGAGATATAGAAAGGTATTGAATAATCGAGTGAATACGATAAGAGGGAAAGAATGCTGAAAATTCCATTTCAATTTATGCTTATCATTCATCTTGGGTGTATTAGTAACTCTGTTGTATAACAGTTTCTTTCAAAGCTCGAGGCTCGTTAAAACCCAGTATGTTTTGAAAGAGACTTCTCGAGACTCAAAAAACTGTAAAGAAAGACTCGCCTTTAAGACTAAAGAAACTTTAAAGGGGAAGCTCATTAAGACTCATGAAATAAACAACTCAGGAGTCTCACAGAACCCCTAAAACCAGATACATGAGACCCTCCCTCCCCAAGGTTATATAAACAACAAAGACTACTGGAAACAGAACAACAGAGCTGCCTAAAAACTACCACTCCTGCAGGCTGTGCAGTGAACTCCAGGTTTCTCGCTTTCATGAGCTGTCACCCATACCGGGGTGGGCTTTTGGTGATGCAGCTACCATTGAGTCATTTCTGCTCCTGTAAGTAACCCCTCACCCATACTTCTGTAAGTATACTCAGCAAGTTGGACTTTGGAGGTCTATTTTAATCTGCTGTTGGTTTCCTATTTGGGGCGATCAGACGTTTATTCATGTCTCCCTAAGAATGATGTCACACAACGCTGATCTTTGAGTTTCAGAATCTGTGTTTCTGAGCCCATTTTCAAACTTGTAAGGTATTTTTAATCTCCATCTATCCAATACTTGGGTTTAATTCCTGCCGTCTGCATAGTGTTTGAACACGCACAGTCCTTCATCATTGCGTCCTAAGAGCTGACTCTCCAAGAAAATCCACCAAATCCAGTAAGTCACTGTTGCCGATGATTTATTGCTTTAAGGAGAAAAACTGTAAACAAAGAATCTGAGCGATGAAAACCCATCACACTGAGCAAACACGTTCCCTGCTACACCAATCATGAGAAAAATGAGAAATGTGGTGAAATGTGACAGGTTTCCCAAGGGCCATTTTCCTCTACTGGGAAATGCAAGACTTTTTTCCATGTGTATTCACTTACAAAATGGCAGTAGAAACATTTAAACACTCAATCACAGTTTGAAAATAGATACGCACATACAAATACACAAACATCTATGCAGGGTTACACAATTAATCATGGTCATTCCTGTTATGCAGCGATGTGACTGTGATTCCTTTGACTCAAAACAACTCTTAAAAAGCAATGACATAAATGAACACCATAGTCAGAGGCTACAATAAGTCACCAGGATTGCAATGCTTACGCAGTACAAAATCAGGGAGATTGCAGACGATTACATTATTTGAAAGCACTCTCTTTGATCAATCTCTGAATCACCCTAATAGTTAAAATTGCAGCACTGGTGAATGAGGCAATCTGGTGATGCTCAGTACCTTTGGTTTGGGTATAGGAAAGTAGTCTGGGTGTTGGGAGAGAGATGGCTCAGGTGTCACATGACTCTGGGCTTATAGCTAATCAGCAGTGCTCTGGATGGTAAGAACTTGAGCAAATTACTTAACTCCAGGAGACTTCATTGTCTTAGCTCTAAAATACCGCAGCAGTAAGGCCATACCTCCTGGGCTCACTGGAAGGATTAAATGGGTTATGTCAGTAAAGTGTCTAGCAGCAGGCCAGGCTACTGCTCAGGGCTCTACAGATGGTAATCATAAGGTTTAGCGAGAGTCAGTGGCTTTGAGAACTTAGGTCTCCCTCTCCCATGAGTAAGCACACTAGAGAAATTCATTCTCAGTGATAGGACGAATTTCTTTGCTGAAAATTAGCTCACCCGTACTGCACCTTTCCTTTGTTTCTGAGCACCCAGGAGTGGCCTAGCTAAAGCCCTGCCCATGTGAGTCTTCAGCAGCAGCCGTCTAGGCCTAGGTTCTGCCTAGATGTTTTCCTATGGTAGAGTGCAGTCACTGTGACTTTGGACCTCAGCCTTAGCCCCTTTGAGCTTCAAAGTTTCTATTTGTTACTAGAAGAAAGCCTTGCATGATCTACACAAAAATTACAGAAGCAATTATCCAAGGGGATAACCTATTTTTACTTGCAAGCTCTTGTACATATATGAACATACATTTAATCAAAATATAAATGGTCTTTCTTATGGCACTTAACAGAGAACTTCTGCTGGTAAAATGAGATTTTGCACAACTGGAAGAAGAAAGCTTCTAGAGAAAAACATATATATATATATAATTTTATTTATCAATATACTTTGAGCACCAGTTGCCTTGCCCTGGGCTAGGCCTTTGGGAAGTCACAGTAAGAAGGCAAAACACCAGTCTTCTTTGTTACCCAAGGATCTGCCTACATGCTGTGCACATTCCCCCACGATCATCTTCCCATCGTCCAATATGTGGCGTTGGGTAAACAGAACCATCTCATAAATGTAGGATGTGACCTGGTCCTGATTTTTTTTTTTTGTCTTTTTTTGAGACAGGGTCTCCTTGTAGCCCCAGCTGTCCTGGAACTCACTATGTAGACCAGGCTGGCATCAAACTCATAGAAATCTGCCTGCCTCTGCCTCCTGAGTGCTGGGATTAAAGGCGTGTGCCACCACGCCCGGCTGAGCTGGTCCTGATTTTAAGGAGAGTGGAGCCACAGGGGATGCACATGGTTTTTGTTTGTTCATTTGTTCCTGATATATCTAGTTTGGATTCTTAGAGTCTAAACACTCTCCTCTCGTGGGAAAGAAGTGAAAGAGAAAATTAATGAGAGCCCAAAATGAGCAGGACAAGATGTAGATCTCAATATGCTGTCCTGCCCTGACATTCTTGGAAGCTCTAGAAACAAAGGAGAAATTCAGATCATGAAGTTGATTCATCTTGGATATGAATCTGCAGCTGGGTGATGGATGTTGATCAAGTTTCCTGACCAATCTGAGCTTCCATTTCACATTTGTAAAAGGAGAAATCACAAGGGGAAATTCTCAATGGTATCAAAAGAGTCAATGAGCAAGTATATGGAAAATAATGAGAACAATGGATGACACATAGAACACATCCAATAAAGGAATGATAACAGAAAACCCTACATTCTACTGCTAAAATAAATAATAACCTCGTCACCATTTATAACAACCATCTCTTACAAACTTACAAACTCTTTTGGTTTTTTATCTTTGTTAAATATATTTCCATTTCTAAACAACTGGTCAACCTCTGTCTTCAGCCTAGAAAACTGAGTTTTTTCAATTCATAGTCACAAATGCTGTGAAATAGGTCATTGAAGCAAAAATGATGTGTCCTGGGCCCAGAGACCCTTGTCATCTCATGACCCTGGCCAGAAGCCATCAGTCCAATGAAAGGTGATCTAGGTCTTTGTTTGATGCACCCATTCTGCTGAGTCTGGTCTGATCTTTGAAGAATCTCCCCAGACCCATGAGGACAGAGGAGTGCTCCAGGGTACTTTTCAGGAGATAGATAGATCACCCCAGGATTCCTACCAACTTCTGTGAACCCCAGAGCAAAGGAGGGATAGATGTAAGGAAGAGCAGGTTAACTGTCCAAGAACTTGGTCAGCAGTAGATGAAACTGGCTGGTCTTGCTCTGTCCCTAGAGGATGAATTAGGGGCTGTCGCCCATGAGCAAAATGCTCAAATTGCATTTCTAATTAGTATGAACCCAGTTTGAGCCTTTCACACTGCAGGAAGGAAATGTACCTTCAGCTCTGCCTGGGTTAATGAAAACAGCTCTCCACTGCAAATCAAAGCCAAACAACCATTCACCTCACTCGGAAAATGTTTGGTGACCTTGTGGCACACAAATCTTTAACCAGAGCACTTTTAGTGTGCTGTGAGCAGAAGTGCCCATTAAAATATCATTTGGCAGAGTCCAGATAACAGCTTATTCCAGTGTCCCTAATCGCATCTACCTGACTGAAAGGATTCCAAAACTCCTTGGGTTTGGTGCTTGTGATATTGACTCTCCAACTGATTCTATTCCTTGGGACTTGTGTAAGATTCGTCAAGACTTCTTACAACTTGCACAGGCTGGAGTTAGACAGGCAGTGTCAGGCTTGTTTTCTTTGAAGTGATATAGAATGTCCTCAAGGAAGGGACCCATTGTCTAAACCTGAGCAGCTCCCTTTTAGGCCACTGGAATGGTCAAAAATAGGAAAAGGAAAAGGTCAGGATCAGGGAAGTTAGAAGTTAGGTAGGGTGTAGGTGAAAGAAGGCTCAATTGTAAAGTCCTGGGCCATAGAGATCTGGCTGCTTTGCGAGTGTGGAGCCCTGCCCTGAGCCCCATGCCCACCTAATTGGCAATCTCTGAGAGGTCAGGATAAGATTCCAAATCGGCAAATATATCATTAGGATTCCTGCAGCTCAGGTTGCAGAAGCAAGCGTTAATCCATAGGACCTGCCGGGAGAAGCTAGGCCCGTCTGGACACTGGAAATTCACATGGATGGTCTTGGACTTGTAAGGGATGCAGCACCTATTATCTGTGCAGACTCCACAGTACTTGGGTCGATAGGTGCGTGTGCTGACACAGCCTGCAAGAGTGAAGTTCACAGGTGCCTCTGGCTGGTACACAGCCAGACACTTCTTCCCTGCCTGCAGGAAAGGAGAAAGACTTTCCATTAGTACGCTCTGGGGAGGCAAAGCCAATCCTCAGTCCTCCCCTTCCAGTCACCGTGCATGCTAAACATCACCTTCCTTCCAGGTTACAGCACCTTAAAGAAAGAAAAGACATCAGCAAATACAGCGAGACTCAACCACATGGCACGGGTAAACTAAGGATTACAGACGGGATTGCCATGCTGAACCTGGAATTCATGGTCTGCAGCCTCCCTTCCCTCCTGAACTTTTGCTTTGTTGGTACCTGCTCATCACTGTCAGCAGCACAGGCAGCCCTGCTAGCTCTTTCAGTCAACCAAGCTCCCCAGCTAGCTAGTGACTGAGTGCACATGGGACTCCAATATCGGGGGAATGTTTTACCCTCACCTGTCCCCTCTGCCCTCCAGGCTCACACACACTACTATGCAGCATCTTCAACAGGACTGACATTATTTAAAGATGGGTTTATCCTTTCATAATGCCATAGGCCCCTTGGCACTTGGGTTTCTTTATGTGTGTCTGCATAATTCTGTGCCTGTACACAGTAGGCACTTACTAATGCCTTGAACTAGTAGTTCTTGGAGCCTGTTGTGCATCAGCACCATGCTAAAGCTGGGGGCAGAGCAGATGTATGATGGATGGGACACATGATGGATGGGACAGGTAGCTTATCCAGTTGGGGAACCCACCTAGGGTACATGATCATGGAAATGAAACAGGTGGGAATCATGAGGCTACAATGATGTTCCCAGGCTTGTATTAAACCCTCCTGGTCCAGCTTAGGACCCTTGTTTCCATTTCACCAATTGCTGAGACCTTTCTATCCACACTTCCAGTTAGGAGACATCCACTGAGGACCTTCTGGCAACAAAGTCTGGAGCAACATAGGGTGAAGAAGAGAGAGGAGAGAAGGAAGGAGAGGGTGAACCCATCTGGACAGGAGAGGTGACTAGAGACACTGTCTTGGGGACAAGGAGCAACACTGGATGCGTGAAGATGAGGGTGGGAATGAGCCTGTTTTATCAACATGGGATCCTTTCCTCAGCATCCCAAGAACCCATCCTACTCTAGTAATGGAGCCAGAACTGAGCTTCACAAAGTTTGTTTTGTTTGATGTGACACCAGGTGGGCCAGCACTAAAACATGAGTGAGGGTTATTGACACAAATCTAACTCCCGGGGCTGGGGCTCAGCCTCCCTACATCCTTGACGCTGTATTTCCATCATCTCAGACTCTCAAAGCTGGGACGGATTCAGAGATTGACACCAACATTATACCCATGGGGACTGAGGCTCAGAGATGGCAAGAGACTGGCCACAGTCACAGGTCCTAACAGCAGACAGGCACTTGAATCCACGTATTCCGAGCTTTGGTTAGTGCTCCTCGCATTGCCTGTGGTTGTCCTGTGTGCCTGTGCAGTTGGGTGTGGACTGCTACAGGGAGATGGAAAGCAAGTGAAGATCCCCCAAGGTCACTATAGAAGGGCCCCTGAGTTCTTCCTGGAGTGCCCTAGATTCTGATCGGAAGGGAACCATAAAACCATCACTTCGGTGAAATTCACCTTTCACTTACTCAGCAGCCCCTTCATCCTAAATCACTGTTGCCTGTCACTCCAGCCCTACCAGGCAGCCTTCATTATTTCCATCTCATGAATGACTCTCAAGAGGAAGTTCAGTGGTCAGTCTCAAAGCCAGCTATATCAGCTCATCAAGCCCAAGATGCCCACCCCTGCTCAGGACCCACCTTGATGTGAGGATGGATGTCCACATCACACGGCCTCAGGTTGCAGAGGCGACTCTCCTGCTCCGGCCAGCACTGGGCATTGACATTGGAGATCCGTGTGGAGATGCCTAGGCCACAGCTGGTAGAACAAGGGCTCCAGGGGCTCGTGTAGGCTATGCAGTTCCCATGCCATTGCTCCACTGCACCTGCAGCTGCTGCAGGGGACACCAGAACACCCATGAGTCTACAGCCTCTTACAAGCTCCCCAGCCCTCATATCACCATGCCAAGTAGGTTTGGAGTTCCCAAGACTCAGAGAGAGACAGAGACAAAGAGACAGACACAACCAGAACTTGGCTGTCCCTCCCACCGGAGGACAAATTGGCTTCTAATGAACAGGGGTATCCAGGGAAGGGATGAAGAAAAGCGTGGGGGAGGTGCTGAAGAGATGGCTTAGTGGTTAAGAGGCTGCTCTTGCAGAGGACCTAAGTTTGGTTCCCAGCACTCACTCACATGGCAGCTAACAACCATCTATGACTACAGTTCTAGGGGCTCCAATATCTTCTTTTGACTTCCATTGCATGCACAGGTACACTTCCATGCAGGCCAAACACTCATGCAAATAACATAAAATAAATAAACTTTTAAGACACTGTCTCTGAAGCCCTCTCAGCAGCCATCAATTGCCAAAAGCTCCTGAGGTTGGGTTAGGTTTTCTTGCCCACTTCCCCATGTCTAGGCTGGGATTTTATTTGGTTTGAGTTTGCATAGGACTTGTGCAGGTAGTCACCATTGCTGAGGGTTCATATTGCTGCACGCTCCTGGTGCCATGCCTTCCCAGTCATGATGGACTGTATTCATTCTTAAACTGTGAGCCATAATAAACCTTTCCTCTCTTAAGTTGCTTTTGGACAGGTATTTTATCACAGCAGTCACTAATACATTCCCCATCTACAATCTGTATGATCTTTGATACCTCATGCTGGAACTCAGTCTCCTGGTCAGAAGAATAATATCTAGAACTGTATGATCACAAGGATGCAGCCTTTGAGCTTATGTGATACATCTACCAAGCACAGGGTAGGAGATATTAAAGAAGCACTGTCCACCACTGTCCTCCACTGAGGTGAAATGTATCTGTGAAACTTCAAAGGCCAGTTCCCATATCCTAGTACTTGACATCCCATTTCAGTCATGTTCAGGGCACAGTGACTAAAAGAACCAAGGGCTCCAGTGTCATGCTGCCTGGGTTCAACTTGCAACACTGAATGAGTTTCTAGCCGTGTAACTTCCATGAGCTACCTCACACCCTGTGGGCCTCAGTTCCTCTGTGTCAAAGCGGGTGAAGAGGGGGGAACAGAGGAGACAGTGCTACACATGTGAAAGCACTTCAGGGGTCCCTGGCTTTGTGACCCCCACTCCATGCCAGGTGGTGTGGTTACTCAACTATGGGCCAACTTGACTACCTGCTCTTGGAGGGCCCAGAGCCCCCGCATCTGGAATAAGTGCACTCTCAGCCAGAGAGCAGGGCAAAATAGTGAGCAATGGAGGGAGACAGGCAGACAGCAGAAAATTCTACCTAGGGTGAAATCAGAGCTCTACACACAGTCCCTTGGAACTTACAAGTGTACAGGGGACACTGCTGTCCAATGAACATGGGAATAAACTTGAGAGAGGGAGAGCGCCCACATACAGGAAGGAGAAAGCAGTGGAGATGTCTAAGGACGGGCAGACAGGCTGGGATGAACTGGATGGGAGCGTGTGGCAGTCGAGAAGGGAGGGATTTGCCTAGGAGGATGAGAGGATGAAAGGGCTTTGGTTTCTGAGTCTCCTCTGCAGCGCTGCAGGGGATGAGCCTGGGCTGGTTCACATTTGGGTCACTGGGTCACACACAATGGACAGGCAGCCTATGCCCTCCTTCCACCATCGAGTGATCGTCCTGCAGGACTGCTGGGGAGGGAGGATGGGGTAAGGAACAGCTGCTAGGGACCAAGCCTTCTTTGCCACTGCCTCCCATCCATGCCAGACTACTCCATCTGGGTGATTTTGTCCTCTCAGTCACACTGGGTAATGCCTGGGGACATTTCAGAAAGTCACAACTTGGAACAGCACTGCTGTGTCTAGAGGGTGTGGCCAGGGATGCTGCCCAAGCCTCTACAATGCTCAGTCCCACCCCAAAATATCCTCTGATCCAAAGGCTGCCAGTGCTGAGGCCCGGGACCCAGCTCCCATCCATGCCCTGAGCAACCACACTCACATAGAATGCTTTAAGACATTACCAATGCACTTAGAACACCCAAACTGTGCCATTCGTCACCGCTTTGGGGCCACCTGCCTGGGAGGTGCTTCCTCTGTCAACATCCACATCCCATTCCCCATCACAGCAGATGTCCCTGGTTTTCCTTCAACTTCAACTTCTCTGTCTCCCCATGACCCCTGGCCTCCTCTGCTCCCATAGAGTCCTCAAATATAAGCCTCCTTAGACCTCTGCCCCGGGTTCACTCTGTTTCACTGTATTATTCCCAGATCCACTGCGACAATTCCAAGCAGAGCTCTCTCCCTGTAGATCTTCCTCCTTGAGGCTGTTCACACTGGGCATTCCTCCCTATGCACCTTCCTCAGACTCAGCTGCTCATGCCCGGCAGTTCACCATCACCCTAAATAGTCTCCTACTCTTGTGTTCTCTTCTGGGCAATTACCAGACCCAGGAGCCATCCTCCATGCCTCCTTCCACCTCTGCATGTGCAGATGCCAGCCCTTGGGCTCACTCTAGCACTGTCTCTTGCTCTTTTTTCTTCTTCACCTCCACACCCTCTACTGCAGTTCCAATGACCACCTATGCATTTATCCATATTCTTTATCTATCCTTCATATATCTACCTATGTGTCATCCATCCACACACCATTCTCATCTTCTATCATCTATCTATCCATCTATCATCTATCTATCTATCTATCTATCTATCTATCTATCTATCTATCTATCTATCTATCTATCTATCTATCTATCTATCTATCTATCTATCTATCTATCTATCTATCTATCTATCTATCTATCTATCTATCTATCTATCTATCTATCTATCTATCTATCTATCTATCTATCTATCTATCTATCTATCTATCTATCTATCTATCTATCTATCTATCTATCTATCTATCTATCTATCTATCTATCTATCTATCTATCTATCTATCTATCTATCTATCTATCTATCTATCTATCTATCTATCTATCTATCTATCTATCTATCTATCTATCTATCTATCTATCTATCTATCTATCTATCTATCTATCTATCTATCTATCTATCTATCTATCTATCTATCTATCTATCTATCTATCTATCTATCTATCTATCTATCTATCTATCTATCTATCTATCTATCTATCTATCTATCTATCTATCTATCTATCTATCTATCTATCTATCTATCTATCTATCTATCTATCTATCTATCTATCTATCTATCTATCATCTATCTATCTATCTATCTATCAATCATCTATCTATCAATCATCTATCTATCTATCATCTATCTACTATCATTTGTCTATCATCTATCTATCTATCATCTATCTATCATTATCTATCTATCTATCATCTATCAATCAATCAATCATCTATCTATCATCTATCTATCTGTCATCTATCATCTGTCTATCTTCCATTCATCCATCTATTTGCCATTCAGTCTATCCTCCACCTATGCATCCATGTGTTCACCCTTCTAACTATCCATCCATCCATCCATCCACCCATTATTCATTTACTCATCTGTTCATCCATACATCTATATGGTGACTCCTGCAAAGATTAGCTGGGAACTTGCCAAGTATCTGGGAGTGGGCTGGGTTGCAGTAGGCAGGCAATGGTGAAACAAACCTGCCTTGTCCTCCCTGGCAGGGCTTCCTCTGATCAAACTCACCTGGTTGAAGTTTCATCTGTTCACATCCTCCATAGTAAAGGGACCCTTGAATCATTTAGAAGGCCCATCTCCTCCTTCCCGTGTCCTGGCACCGGCTCCCCTTTCTAGATACCGAATCACCCACTGAGATACTTTGGTGGATAATATTGGACTGCGCATGTTGGGTCAGGCTTTGTTCTTTACAAAGCACTCCCTCCTTTTGTGCTGGGAGGTGCCTAATGGACAGGAAGGGTAGAAGGTGTCATTTGCATTTTACAGATGGAGAACTCAGGTCTCAGGTTGCATATCCTCAAGACCATACAGCTGGTGAATTGTGACTAGGTAATGACCTGGGAGCTTGAGTTATTCAGAGGAGTTGGAGCTCCAAGGACTCTGTGGTCCTCAGAGACCCCGTCTGGCCTGGCCTACACCTACCGAAGGCCCTGGTGTCCAGCAGCGCAGTCTGACGTGGCCTCCTTGCATCATCGTCACACACCCATTGCTCGCAGCACTGGCCGGGCACACTCACACGACGGGGTTGGCGACACCAGAGACGTGGGGGCCGGGGACTCAGGCACAGCGGCGTGCAGCCCACTGTGCCATCAATGCAGGTGCAGTTGTACCTACAGCTGGGCTGGAAGGACTCGCCGTTGGTGTAGCGCACTCCATCCAGGATGCAGCCCACTCCGACCACCTCTGTAAACACAGGTGATGGCATGTCAGGTCAGCAGGCATGGGCTGTGTGCCAAGCTACCTCGGTGCAGCCTCCCTCTGCCTGAGGCACCATGCCCAGGAATCACTCATGATATGAGGGAGGGGTAGACCCACACATCAGCTAGCTGCACCCCAAGGTCAAAGGCTGGGCCATGTGAAAAGGTGGGCAATAATGGGGACTGTGGGCATCTCCAGGGCATAAGTGGGCAGCCACTGAGAATCCTGCTGAGTTCTGGGTGGGAGGGCTCATCACCAGGGCAAGAGCCCTGGCAGTAGCTCCCAGCAGTCCCCAGTACAGTCTTGGTACTGACAAATGGCTCTCCGAGGGAAGAAGGCACACAGGAAGCCAGAACCCAGGAACAAAGTGTGCTGCCTTAATCAGTACTGATTGCGGAGTGTGACAGGAACTGGGGACCCAATGCTGGGCAGAGCAGGAATAGGCCTGTCCTTGAAGAACTCACACAAGGTGAGAAAATGGTCCACTGGTCATCCAAAGTGTTTGTTGATGGTAACAGCCATTTCTGACAAGTGTTGGGAGACAACAGAGCAGGGAAGGGGAGTTGGGAATGGAGCAGCTGCAAACTGAAAGCAAATGAACCAGGAAAGTCCTATGGAACTAAGGGGGCGTCCTGCCTGCCTTCCACAAAGACTAGAAGGAGAGGAGAAGGGCCAGACCTAGGTGCCAAAGACAGTCTTTAAGGCACAGAGGGGGTCTACTATCGGTACAAAGGCCTCATTGGGTAGCAGGCCTGAGAAGTTGGGGGAAGGAGGAAGGAAGGAGGGGGAAAGAGGCCAGACATGGTTTCCTCCTGGTTCAGGGAGGATGCAGAACCATTTGTCTGGAACCCTTCCCTGGCACACAGTGGGTGCCCAATAAGTAACTTGAATGAATGAGATGAGTTACACTTCACAAGAAAACACATGGTACAGAGTAACCAATAGGCTGAAGAGGCACAAGGCAGAACTGGAGGGCACTGCCATGACTCAGGGAGAGGTTGATGACTTCTCAGATCAGGGAGGGACTACAGCCATGAGGGGAGAGCTCTGTTTCCAGACACATTTGAAAAGAGAGTTGTGAGGACTTTCAGAGGACTCCCAGGAGTCAAGGAGGACTCCCAACTCTTTTACTCAGGCCCAGAAAGTGAGACGTTCCATCTTCCACAACAGAGCTAGGATTGGGACAGGCTGGCTTAGAAGTCTTCATTCAACATGAGACTGACCTTCTGGAGGGTTTGGGGGACTGCTGGGCCAGATACCACCCTTGACACTGCGTACTGCCTTTGGGGACAGCGTCAGGAGGTGTAGACAGAGGGTCCTGGGTCAACAAGAATGCCCACTGGAGGAGGAGCAGTTAGGCGTCTGCAGTTCCTGTAGCCCTGTCCTGTCTCGGGGGCTGGTGCGGGTGATGGCTGGTGATAAGCATCCAGGGATCCAGCAGGAGTGAAGCCTGCAAAGATCCATTCTATCAGGACCAGGCTCTGCAGCACGCCTTACTTTGTTTTAGAAGGAAGCACATGGCTGCCTCCACTATATGTATGGAAAAACAGTCTCTGTGTGATGTCAGTATCCAAGCTGGCCTAGGGAGCAGCGTTCTCAGGCAGAGTGCATGCATCTGGGAAGGTGTGACCATCTGAGAAGGAGATGCAGAAAGGCCAGGGCTGGCAGGGACTGGCACCCACAGCCTCTAGCCCGCCATTTTGCTCAGGTCTCTGATGACTTCATTAGGGGAGCACTGTCTTCTTCACTAGAGGACAGGAGTGTTGAGGAGAGGAAAGGATTCAGAGAGCTGGGGAGTGACAGAGCTGAGACTCTAAGCACAGGAAGTGTGACTCTGCAGCCTCCTTCCTTCCACTGGACACCAAAGGCAGGCCCCAGGGGAGAGGAAGAAGGAAGGTCAGGCAGAGGAAGAGAAAGCGGGGGCAGGAGAGAGCCCCTGAACTTTGCATCCTCAGTCACTCTGCCACTCCTGTGAACTCCAGGAAGATGAGTGTGTGTATGTGTGTACACGTGAGTATGTGCACACATGTGTATGCATGTGAATGTGTGTGCCTGCAAGTTTATGTATATGTGCACGTGTGTGCTTGCATATGTACACGTGTGTATGTATTCACAGATGTGTGTGAGCACTTGTGTACATGTGCATGTTCACACATGGGTGTGTTCATGTGTTCGTGTGCATGTGTACATGTGTGGTGTTGATGGAGAGGAGGCTGAAGCCCATGATCTACCTCCATGTATGCTAACAGGAGGAAACATCAGTCCCAGCCTCTGGTGTCCTGGACACAGCAGTCTTTTCACCGACTGCTCAAAAGAACTTGCGAAGCAAACTGAAAATGCTGATGCCCAGGCCATTCCGCAGGACAGGGGCAGACCTAGATGTGAGAGCACTGCTTTCCTCAGCTTAAGGATTTTTTTAAAGCCTCCCAGGTAAGTCCAGTGCACAGCCAGAGTCAAATACCACTGTGTCCTGGAGGTGTCAAGGTCTCTTCAGACTGGTGAGTAGGGACACCAGGGCAGCTGATGAGCCTGTCCCACACGGTCAAGAGAGGCCAGGGGTGTGTGATGGCCATGGATGACTCATCAGCAGAGGTAGGGTTTTTCCTTACGTGCGGCCTGCCCACAGAACTAGCTGTTGGTGAGGAGAACCAGCAAGCTCCTCTCTAACCTCATTTGAAAGGCGAGGTTAGATTTCCTACTGCTGAAGGACTTCCAGAAACCAAGCCACTTTGTTCTTCCACTGGGCCTTAGTGCCCCTCACCAACTGTGAGGGGACTGTGGCCCTGCGGAAGCAGGAACAGGGCTGGGGTCCCGGAAGACCACCTTCATATTATCACTGGCTTGTGTTCATTCATGAACCAATCACTGGGCAGGTGGGTAAATGGAGGCATGCGCCTGAAACCAGGTCCCTGATCTCCACTAGGCTCTGGCCATGCCCAAGGACTTAACAGCCTGGCCTCCCTCAGAGGTCTCAATTTTCATCCCATTGTCCTTGATGAGGACATTATTTAAAAGGTTTGAAAACCTGCCTAAGGTCCAGGACTATTTAGCAAGAATGCTGGATTCCAGCTCAGATTGTTCAGCTCCAAAGAAAATGCTGAGCTTCCCATCCCATCCCTGAATACTGGAGGATGGGTGTGGGGTGGTCCTGGAGCGAGGCCTTCCACCAACTCTGAGGATGACACTGGACAGAGCTGAGATGACTTCTGCAAAGTAAACAAAAGCCAAGGGCACTGTCCCTGAGTTCGCTCCTCCCTCCGAGAGGCTGGCTTAATCTAGATGCTCAGGTATGTGGCCCCAGTCACGTAGCAGCCCAAGCCCATCTACGTGTAAACACCATGATCCCACTGCCAAATCCCTTTGCCCTCAGGCCTTCCCCTGTTGCATCAGGGTGGTGTCTGGGCAACCCAAAAAGTCAAACCCGAAGCAGAGGTGCTGTGCCCATCACTGTGTTTAGGTTGGCTCAGAGTTTCCTTCCAAAAATATCTTTGAACGCAGTGCCAACATTCACCAACCATGCGCAGTCCTAGGCTGCTCCTGACACCTGAGCAGGCTGATCAAGACTGGGCTCACTGCTCTGCCTGGCCACAGTGAGCCAGAAAGGTGACGGCAGACAGCCCAAACTAGCATTTATGGGTGTGCCATCGTCCCTTCTGCACTCCTTCCTTGAGTTTCCTGTGACAGTATTGAGATTATTCATTTTCATTTTCCACCTGCCTTACCTGGCCTAATTCTCTGCAAAGCTCTGGAACTGCAGAGCTAGTTCCGGGGGTCCACTGCTGAGCTGACCAGTGCTGACAGGCTGTCTCTTACAAAGGCTCGTGTTTCTTTTTTCTCTCTGCCTTTCTGGACTTTCATGCCCTGCCTTAATTTTTGCATTTGGGCCTCGTGAACTGTGACATTAAAATACATTTCTAGGGAAATGCTCAGGGGGACACCAGTCAATTGTGGATATGTATGCACATGTTATCATGTGACACACTTGTGAACGTGTGTGCACGTGCGCACATGTGACATATGAGTGCCCATGTGTGCAGCATATACCTAATGTGTGTGTTGTACCTGATATGTGTCTGTAGTGAGGTGGGTAAGAGTGTATCTGGATGGAGGAGTTAAGTGTTGGAGCTGAAAAGTGAAAATAGCCCCTTGTGGCAGCTTCTTCTGGAAGCTGACAGTTACACAGACATTTCAAACCTCTGTCAACTCCCGCCTAAGCGTATTTATCCCAATGTTTAGAAAATCATACGATCAGGGTAGACGTGATGGGGGAGCTGGGGGAGCAGGCAAGGCAAGCAGGACGGAAAATGTCTAGATCTAGGAGACAGTCTATGAAGAGGCGAGCCTGGGTATAAGATCTCACTCTGGCTTTGGAGATTAGGATAATCACAGTGAACTGAATTATCTTTTAAATGACCTTGAGAGATGGCTGTTAAAGGGAAAAGAAATTGTGAGCTGTTCTCATATGCCTGGTCTCACAGGTGATTCTAGCTGAGAGAAGCTGTTCCACGTCCCCCTGGGCTATGAGAAAACATAGATGACCAACTGTTGACAATATAAGTCATTCTTGAATACCAGCACACAGAGAACCACCTGCGAATTTCACTAAAGAAAGGATTCATTTAAACAAGTTTGGCCAGATGCTCAGGAAGAACATCTTTAATCAATACATCAGGTAATTATGTGCTGGTTATGGTGCAACTGCTCTTTGAACGCATTTTGTGGCACTAATAATAAAATCCAGCAAAAGGAGAAAAACTGGAAGGGTGGGGGTATCAGAGGCATTTACTTGCAAAGCCAATGATGTGGGTATTAAATGAAAGTTAAAATATAAACCAATGAGGAAGCACAGAAGGGCCACAAATGAGCCATGGGGCTCAGCAGATTTTTCCAACTCAGAATTGTGTGCAAAACACCCTCATCAACAGTAGTCCTCTTCTCACTAGTGCATACCCAGTGAGCCAGGAGTCATCAACGGTGCTAGCTGAGGATAAAAGCTATGCTGTACATGAAACAGACTGTGAGGCATATACGGACTAATAATCATGAAGTCTTGATTGAGGACTATATGGTGGAGGGAGTTCCATTGATCTTCGTGGTGCTGGCTCATATCATTTGGGCAATGCTTAGAGGATTCAAAGTGAGGAAATACAAGTCCAGGTAAAAGCAGGAGGTAATAAAGCCCCAGGAAGGTGATCTTTGGGAACAGTAGTGTCAACAACAAGGACAGAGCACACAACACGGGGTGCATGAAGAACAAACAATAGCAGCCTCCTGCCCCAACACAGGATGTTACAGACACCCAAGGCAAAGGAAAAACAAAGGCAGTTAGAAACTCCAGGAAAGCATGAGGCACTATGAAAAAGGGGACTCCAAAAATGCATACTATCTCAGGCTACGGTGAACCCTAGAGTCAGAACACAATAATTACTGATGATTCTATAACCTAAAATCACAACAATGATATTTGGAAGATAATGAGGGTATCTGATGTATTGGGGAGCTAAGTCATCACCTGTCATGAAAGAATATTCATAAATGATGAAAAATTATCACAGAAACCAATTAAGACCTAGAAGAAAACATTACTAAGTTGTGGTAGCTTTTAGAATAAAGGGCTATGGGACTGGAGAGATGGCTCGGTGGTTAAGAGCACTGACTGCTCTTGCAGAGGACCCAGGTTCAATTCCCAGTGTCCATATGGCAGCTAACGACTATCCTAACTCCAGTTCCAGGGGATCTGACACCCTCTTCTGACCTTCGCAGGCACTGTACAACACGGAGGCACCTACCTACCATTCAGGCAATACACTCATACACATAAAATAAAAATAAAATATTTTTAAAAAAAGAATAAAGGGCTAAAATGTTCACCGTGACTGTGTTGAGACCACCTGGCTGGTAGGACATGGTGGCTATAGGCTGCCAGTTTCATTGTTTCAAAGCCACTGGTTTTCCTTAACCATGTGATTTTAATTTGCAATATCATTCAAATACTTGAAGCACTACAGTGATTCAGTGCCATCTGAGAGGTCATTGAGGATCTATCTATTGAAGGGTCTTATCCACTGAGAGAACAGATCAGGCTTAGGTATTTCTTGATAAAACCTCCTTCCCCAGGGAAGACTGCCTCTAATCCTGAGGAAAGCCTGTTGCAAAGAGGGCAGGCATTGCTCTTTCCTAAGGAAGGACACATTCGGTGGTCTACAACTGGAGACTGGGACAGGGTGTGCTTCCTGCTGGACAAATCTGGCCAGGTGAAGGGCTGTGGCTGTCCGTGGGCCGGAGCTGGGGCACTGGGGCAATCAGAAGGTACAGAAGCTCTCACTTACGTGCACACACTCCTATTGCGTACCTCGGGCGGTCCCCACTGTAGTCACAATAGAGGCCCCGGTGGGGGTCACAGACGGCAGCCTCTGTGCAGTTGTCCCCGAGCTGCTGGGCACATATCTTACAGCATTCACAGCCATCTGTGATTAGGCTGACGCCCAGCGGGCAGCGGGGTGGGGATGTCGGGCACTCACATGGCCACTTGCAGAATTCAGGGCGTGCGGTTGCATCCTCCAGTGGTGCTGGGGTGAAGGCCATGGTCATGGAGGTTGGAGAGAGGGCCTGCGGGGGAAAGGTAGAGGTGAAGAGAGGTTTCTGAGGCTAGAGTTTCTGAGGCCAAAGAGCTGCAGTCTCCTTTCCACCTTTGTTGTGTTTAGAAGGCTTTTACAATTATGTGGTCAACATGTACTTGCTGGCCCTTCTACGGCCCATGACTCAATACAAGGATGCTGCTCTGGGGCCTCTTGGGAGGTGAAGAGCCCAGAGAACGTGGAAGCATGGGACCAGGGCACCCACAGCACACCTCCCTATCCCTGACTTTGAGTTTTCTCTTGCTTCACGCCCAGCACATGGCTGCAGACTTGCACACTTGGAATAGACTGTAAACTGCTGGGTCCTATACTTTGTTGTGGGAATCACCATCTGGCTTCCTGCATCCCTCTCGTTATTAATTCCAGTAGGCAGCCTCCTTTCCAGGTACCTGCCTGGAGAACCCCAGGCAACTGGTTAGGGAAGCCAGGAAGATCCCAAGCCCTGAGCAGTGTCTATCTAGATAGATAGGGGATGTGCGTGTCCTGGGCCAAGTCTTGGCTGTTGGTGCCATCTAGTGGTGGCAAGACTCCTAGGTACTCAGCAAGAAGAATGGCTTGACCAAAGCTGCACAGTGGGACCCATTTACACTCCTGAATTTGGTGTGCGGCTTTCTGTTTCCTGATGTTCTACCCAGCCTTGATATTCAGGTCCTGTGACTGCAGGCCAGCAGCTAGTTCAGATTCCCAGGGACCAACAGAGTCTCAGCCCTCCGTACACACTGAACAGATGACTGGTGTGGAACTTCCACTCCTGAGAAGACAGTTCTGCCAGAGAGATGCACACCAGCTCTTTTTAAAGTTTTTATTTATCACTTTTATTTTATGTGTGTGAGTGTATTACCTGCATGCATGGAAGTGTTGTATAATGTATCCATGTCATACAGAGATCAGAAGAGGGTGTTGGATCACCTGGAACTGGGGTTAGGGATGGTTGTTAGCCACCATGTGGGTGCCAGGAACCAAACCTGGGTCCTATGCAAGAGCAGCTAGTGCTCTTAACCACTGAACCATCTCTCCAGGCTCCCACAGCAGCTCTTTGATTCATGGAAGCTACAGATGTTTACTGAACACCTACTGTGTGCCAGGCTCTGTGCTGGGAGGAAGTGGTACTGCTTAGAGTCCCTCTTCTCACTAGTGCACACCCAGTGAGCCAGGAGTCATGTACACTACAGTTGCAACCAGGGTGACCAATGCTGTAGTGACGGTGTTCACACACTCATTCATTTCGTTTGTTCACCCAACACATCTTTGCTTTTACCTTGTGCTGGGTGCTGGGCTCAGTGCTGAGGATACAATGGGGAGAGCAGACAGACCTGCCTTCAGGACGGTGTGCTGGGTGAACTTCTCCAGGTAGGAGGAATGACTTCAGGGACCACGATGGAAGAGAAGGAATGGGGCCAAGGTGGAAGGATGGCAAGGAACCAGAAGTGCGCAGCCATCGCAGAGCATGGAGCTGACACCGTACACAGTGCCCTGAGCACAGAGGCATGTATGCAGGTCACGGTTGGTATGAAGACACAGAGCTGACTAGTTGCGAATGCCCACTGAATGTCCAGGCCATGGATAGCCTTAATTGCCTCACTCACTCACAGAAAGATGGCAGCAGGACATGGTGGGGGCAGATCTGGGCTTTGAGCACATCATGCCGTGACATTTTGTCAGGCCTTTGCTAGCCACTGACCCTGTGGCATGGGAGCTCCTATCTGAGGCCCAGCTTTCTCCTCTGGCAGATGGCATTCTTGATCCTGTTGATCCCAGAGATGATTACATCATGCTATGGCCCCCTAATGCTCAGCTTGTCCACTGTGAACCACCACCTTGAGGACACTTGAGGCCAGGCTCCCATGAGCCTTCTGTTATTCAGGCTAATCTCACCTAATTTTCCCTATGGTGGCTGATACATTATTCCCAATTTACAGATTAGTGTGGTGACTGGACCGTTTAGACACCTTAGAGCGTGGATTAGAAATCAGATCTGTTGGGTTTAGGTTTTTCTTTCTTTTTTTTTTTTTTTTCCACGGTTTCACGGGGGTTCATTT